AAATAGAAGTGCAAAAACGGGAACTGTTTTTAATACAGAATTTATTTTTATTCAGTTGTTTTATTATCACATAACTTAAATACTTATGGAAAGAGCACAGTATTACCTACTCTGTACTGTATAAAGTTTGGTCCCATCGATGGACAGTCACGTGATAAATGCATAGTACGTGTACTGAATGTAGGTAATTAACAAATTTCAATACCGTAAGGACATACCCTATTTGAAATTTAAAATTCAACCTATTAATTGTTTCTGTATACTTTGTACTTTCTGGAAAGTGCTGCTGATTTGAATAGAATTTCCGTTTTACTAGTTAAAATTTCAAGTAAATAGGCCAATGACGAAATATGTTTGACTTTTACCAATTTTTTTTTGTACTTATAAAGTCACGTTCTCGATTTCAAGAAAGCAGCAGCACTTTTCAAGTTAAGGCACATATCCTTTAAGTGTATTTATGAGGCACCTCGATGTCAAATATACCTAACCTGAGCATAGACACACAACAAAATTATTTAAATACATTCTCTCGATAGTTAATGAATAATCGCACTAAACAAAGGATATATATATTGGTATTAATAGCCTATTTAAAACCTGTAAATAATAATTTTTTTATACTAAAACGCATTTTTCTTTGTTAAAAAATTCCTAAATCAGCCTCTCACAGCACATGAAATACGTCATTTTTACCAAAATGATGTCATGATTGACAAGTTCATCGAGATCAGTGGGTTATTTATAACAAGCTGTACGGGATTTAACTAGCAAATTTTTTTAATGCATTGATAAATAATTCATTTTCTGGTATTATGAGAGAGACTTAAAGGACTGATTCGCGGCGAGAAATATTCGAGATAACGAGCCTCCCGCAAACTTCGCGAAAATTTCTCGCACGCGAATAAAAGTTGGTTTACAGTACATAAAAGTCAAATTTTTGTGTGACGTCACAGTAAACTTTTCCCGTATAAATTAGGCCCCGCCTCCTTTTTTCAGCCTTAACAATGCTGCGAACCCACAGCTAGCTAGGCACCTGACGTTACTTATTTTTCTTTTAATAATAAAAAATATACCCCTACCTAATAATAACCATGGTACCCATCGAGACCGACAAGAAGAATTTCAAGTTGAATGTAAACTCCCGGCCCTCCTTTGGCGATTTCTCGTATTGTTGAAGCAGTAGATTGAGTTTGGAGAGTGATTTTTAATATTTGCAAGAGAGATGCGCCCTTCTGGTTGCACTGGCCGTAAGTTTAGACCTCGAAAGAATGGAAACAGAAAGAATATGGTTGCAGGGAATTTATTTTACGGAGTTTCAGCCGAAAATACAAGTGAATTAACTACTTCGAAAATCCAAGATGGCGGTCTCGATGGGTACCTTGTTTATTATTAGGTATGGGTATATTTTTTTTATTAAAAGAAAAATAAGTAACGTCAGGTGCCTGTGATCAAACCCAATGTGTTTATGTACACTGATATATCTTACTGAGTTGACCTGATGACCTCTATCTGAATTATGAGGTCACTATCAGAGATAATATGGGTTAAATTATAATTATAAAAATTGATATCTTGAGAGACCTAACATTGACATAAATCAAATTTGATACACTAATAACTTTAAGAATAAGAAGATTACCCTTATTAGCTCACCTGAGCTGAAAGCTCAAGTGAGCTTTTCTGATCACCCGTTGTCAGTTGTCCATCTGTTCATCCATCCATAGATCTGTCAAACATTTCACATTTTCAACTTCCTCTCAAGAACCACTTAGCCAATTAAAAGCAAACTTAATGCAAAGCATCCTTGGGTGAAGGGGAATATAAATTATTAAAATGAAGGACCAAGTCATCCTTACAAGGGGAGATAATCAAGAAAAGATGAAAATATGGTGGGATTTTTAAATAGTCTTCTTCTCAAGAACCACATCGTCGCAAACCACGGCCAAAATGTACAATCCTCTCCCATTCCGGACCGTGGCTTGAGACGATGCATCAAGAAAAGCTATATGGAAGCATCCTTGGATAGTGTAGCTCCACTATATAATCAGCAGTGTTCCACCCCACAAGAATCACTGACCTTTCAACCCACATATTTCAGACACCTTTGTCAGAATATGTACCCCCCCCCCCCCGCACACACAGTACCCCTGACCAAGCGACCATGAAATTCATCATTTTGGAAGAGGCACCTTTCTTCATCATAAGTATGTACTTAGATCATTAGCATAATATCCAGGAGCAAAGGAAAAAATGTATAAATATTTAATGCATTTCAGTATATGATCAATAGAGCTCCACCCAAACACAAGAACCCCTGATCCAGGACCTTGAAATTCACTAATTTGAAAGAGTCATCCTTCCTAATCATAACTTTGTTCATGGTTCACTGGTTTAGAACACAGGAACAGAGGAGAAAATTTTTAAAGAATTAGGCCGAACTCATTTTCAAGTACTATTCATTAATTTTCCATCTACACTAGTTATGATTATCCCGCGATACTTATTTGGGTTATTTATGGAGCAGAATAATACCGGATGGCTATTGGTTTGGATAAATATCGCCTGCTAAACAACTATTGAATAACTCATGCAGACTATGAATGGGAGTGTTGTGTCCATATTTCATCAAATGATTAGATATATTTGGGGGGGGGGGTTGTTATTTAATTTGCTTATTACACTTTTTAGCATTCTGCTTATTACCCCTCGAGTTGAAGGCCACAGCAAGTTTTTTCTCCAGTAGAATGATGGTACAATGAAGCGCATTAGCAATTCTTTGTGAACGTCAATTATAACAGTAAGTCATTTTCCTTAGTATTAATGTTTAAGGACACCCCACTTCTACAAGTTTGAAAGCATAAGAGAGAAAGTTTGAGAGTTCCTGCTTCTGTAAAACACATATTGCAACGAATTTGTCCATAATTATGTATTTATGTCATGTTCATTGGAGTTTTTTGCTTACTCGGTGTTTATATGTAGAATTCGATTGGCTATTATATTTATAGATACCTGTTCTACATGTCCCATTTTTCAAAAAATTTTCATTGTATGACAATCATCGTTCTACGTTCCATCTTTTACCACTTCAATGCGCTTCATTGTATGATGTTTAATGTCCCATTCAAAAATTTTTCACTCATTACATCTGCACTAGCCAAGAGTTTCTGACTTGCTCCTCTCCTTATACTCAGTAAACCCATGGAATACGGCGTTAAAAAAAGTTGGGATTTTTTCTCAAAATTTGATTGGAAAGATTGACACCGATCAACCAATCATTCGAAGGGTTTATTCCCCGAACGTCTACTACCTATATAAACAGTATAATTTTCACACTCAATTAAGAAGCCCTCTGAGGGGCACAGGTAGAGTATACCTGTGTTACCTGTGTTATCTTGATTTAATAGTCTAAATCAAATATATTTATTTTTCTGATAAAGAATATGTACCAAACCACAATTTATTTGATTAAATAACTATATTTCAAGACACTAAACAAGTATTTTTCCTATAAATATTTTTATTTTATATTTTTATTTTTTTTTTTATTTTTATTTCAGTACATTTCATTACAAGCACTATGACACAATGTATGTAAAGTGATAACAAGTTTATTATTTACAAATATTTAAGTTTTAAAATACGGACATAAAAATTATTGAGTACCATAAAAAAATAAAAGAATTCAACAGATGTATTGAAAAAAAATTAAATAGCATATATCTAAAAGAAAAATGAAAAGATTTTTTGTCTGTTTAAATACATTTTTTTGTATGTGAATGCATTTAAATTGTTAAAATATTGATATTTGCTGCTTTGAAAATTTTTGATTAAAAAATAAATAGAATTAAAGATCAATTAGCACAATAAAATAATTTTTTTTCTAATCTAAATGAAGGTAGTTTTATATCAAAAAATTTTGAAAATTTGAGTAGAAAAATATTTAAAAATTTGAGAAACGTTTAATTCATTTGATAGGAATTATTGGTAAGATTTTTTGAAACATTAATTAATACAAATTGACTAAAAAAATTTGAGAAACGTTTAATTCATTTGATAGGAATTATTGGTAAGATTTTGAAATTTTTTGAAGTGCCTACAACTTCACTTTTATAATGTATAGTGAGGTATTTTTTGTGTAGCGATTATTTTGGGGTTTTAACGATTTTTTTCAATTGTACTTATGATAAATAAGTGTCATAAATATAATTTGTGAAAAAAATGTCCAACAAGCCCCGGGGTTGAATATTTAGGAGGGGGGGGTCCTATCCACAAGTACCTGTGAGTTAATCCTACATCATTGATAATGAAGCTAGAAACTGCACTGATTAAAAAAAAAACAAACAAACTAGAAACCTTGCTAAAACAGTTCTGTCTCCTCAGACAAGCAGCTCACGGCTTAAAAGTTCTAAACCTCCCATCCCAAAGCCCGTTTTTTATGCCTTATATATATAGCATCAATTCAGTAAATGACGGTTGCTTTTATGCCATCTGCCGTAATTTAGTGCATGACTCTTGCTTTTTATGCCTTCAAGCTTCAGTTTAGTTAATCATGTTGCGTTGCATGTCGTCTGGAGTGAATTTACTTTTGTATGTTGCTTTTGCTTTTTATGCCATATATGGTCAATCCAGATCACGAATGTTGCTCTGAATGCCATCTAGTGCTAATTCAGTTCATGACTGTCGCTTTGACCGATTCGATGTCGTTACTTTTGCAACAGATATTTTTATCTTATTAAAGTTGTTCTTTTGAATTTCAGTATGATTTTACAAATTTACTGTTAGTTTCGCTTTTTCTTTTCCTTTTTAACATTTTTTACTATGTTACTAATAATTCAGAACAAATTTTAAAACATAATTAAACCCTCTTCTCACATGTTTATATCAACTTTAAGTAAAATATTAATTTCTCTTTTCAGATAACTGAGGAAATACATGCAAATGTTTGTTGATTTGAATGCGCACTACATGATATTAAAATGCACAGGTACATTAGAAAACTTCCTTGAACGCATGCGTTAGCCAATCAACATAAGATATGACAGGATATTGACTTTTTAAAGTAGTACGTGTTGCGTCAAATATGTGTATTGTTTGAATAACATGATCCATTAAGATCTGTCTCGAGATAAAGTTGTTGTGAAGCATAAATGGCAAGTACGGTAAGACGATATATGTTTTTCAGTTTGTTTTTTTAAAAGAAAAAGTATCGATTTCTTTATTCGTTAAATCTTGTTCTCATATATCGTGTATTGATATTGCTTTTAATAATCACTTGTATTACTTTAGCAGATGATCAATTAAAAGAAAGTACAAAGGTTACTCCACTTTGATTGAAATAAATGAGACACCCCCACCCTCATCCAATTTTGTAGCTTAAAATGTTCTTTAAACGTTCTTAAATAAACTTTTTCTACAGGTCTATGACAAGAGAGTTATTTTTACATCACGTCATTTCAAAAAAGAAGTCTTGGTAAAACTGAATACCCAGAATACACCGGTTTGGATTCCCTTACAAATAACAGAGAAAAGCACACGGACTTTGATACTGTACTTCTTCTTAGATGACGGAAGTAAAACATCAAGTTCGCTTATTTTGACTGTGCCTCTACACTTCAGCCTCTCAGCTAATGTAAATGATTACACATGTGAAGCATTATTACAAGGTCTGTGCTTCTTCCTTTGCAAAATCACATAAATATATAAAACAAAGATAAAATACATTTTAATGTTTATAGTTCCTTTAAAATACTGAGTATGACTGTATTTTTAAACTTTTTGAATAAGATATCCTTGTTTTTTAATATATAAATTTTATGACGGAAGTAAAACATCAAGTTCGCTTATTTTGACTGCGCCTCTACACTTCAGCCTCTCAGCTAATGTAAATGATTACACATGTGAAGCATTATTATAAGGTCTGTACATGTGCTTCTTCCTTTGCAAAATCACATAAATATATAAAACAAAGATTTTTTAATGTTTATAGTTCCTTTAGAAAAGTAATGATTTGTTTTTTAATATATAAATTTTATAAATAAGTGTTTGAACTGTAATTTATTTTAACAGAAAAGTAATGATTTGAGTAAAGAGTAAGAAGAAAAACTATGTAGTGAAAACAAATATTTTTAAATTTACTTTGTAATAATTATTCATCATAATTATGCAGAAAGCGAATTAATAATTCTACAATAATTATGCTTTTAGATGACAGAGATGGAAAAGAACTTGCTAAAGAACTAAAACAAAGTTCTGATGTGGTAAGTTTTCACTTCTTTACGTGTACACATCTAAGTGATGGGCAGGTGCGTGGTTCAATCCTGGGGTGGATCCTCCTTCATCAGTTGTTTTGGTTCTGTCCATTACAGCCTCCAGAGGTGCACCGATTGGGGTAATTAGGTCCCTGTCATGCAGGAACTTCTCGGCTCTACATCACTGCTGTTTTACCTTACTGTCTATTTCACCACTGTTTGTTGTCTTACCACTTCTCTGCTCTTTTTGTGCACGACCACATGGACGCTGATTCCGCCTCTATGTACAGACTCCCTATCAATCTCCTACTTTCTGCTCCCGTTATGCCAATGGCTCTCAGTGCCCTCCACAATGGCTGCCCCACGAATCCTCTACAACCCACTTCCACTGCAAAAAACCAGACCTTCCATCCATTCTGTTGACAATCCTTCAAAAGGTCTTGATGCTTTAGAATTTTCCTCTCGTACATATCTTCCCTCCTATCCACCCATGACACTGTTAATTCTAAAATAATTGTCTGTCTTGTAGCCAAATAACCAAATGATTGTATAGGCTTCTTGTCTGTAGCTATTATTTCAAATCGAAATACTACACAATCTTTCCTTGAGGTCTGCTTGCATTTGCCAAACTGTTGCTGTCCCCAGCAGACCGCTTCCTTCAACACAAACTTTGTCCTTTTTCACCCTCTTTCACAAAGTTGACAAATCTCAGGCCCTCTTTGTTCTTCTTTGGCTTTCTGATACTCTTCTCCAAGGTGTCAGCTATACTGGCTGGGACTCTATCACATCCCCAAGTGTATCTCCCATCTTTTAAAGCTTCTGAACATGCTGATAATACTGAGTATGTGCTCCAAGTTTGCTTGTTTACCACAAAGGACACGACACACTTTAGATCATCTGTTACTCCCATGTTATCAGATAAGTTGGAGTGGGAAGAACAAATTAAATTGATTTGATTAAACTGAAGCCTGAATGGTTCCATTTTCAAATATCATTTAATTCCAACTTCACTTGACGTGCATGTTCTCAGTTCAACCAACTGCTTTGTTTCTTCATCCCAACTGCTTCCACCATTCTTGAGTCTTCCTCCATTGCACCAAAACTGCGCTTCTCTTCTACTGAAGAAGTCCCCCATTTTGCTGTTGGTGTGCCATCAAGCCCTTGCCTTCATATTGCCAGCCTTATCTCAATGTCATTTATCTCAATCGGGATTCTTCTTCTTCAATATTTTTCTTTACTGACCACTTTCTCCCCGTCCTAATCTCTACTTTTGCTTTCGGACCTTTTTGTCTTGCACCTTTGTCACCTCAAATTCTCCAGTAATTGACTTTGGAGGTAATTGTAGCTTTGTTCAAGAAATATATAAACCGATGCTGCTGAAACTTTGTGGTTGGTTTTGCCTCTCCTTCAATCTTGAATCTTTGTTTTTTTTACTTTTCCATTCTTTATAACCAAACTACGATATTTACATGGTTTTACTTTTATTCTTGCCCAAGTGATAGTTGAAGTCTAGTTCTTGTGTTCAATGACTGTTTTGGTTGTCACTGTCATGTCATTCGTTAAAGCTCTCCCAGGTAGTTGGCGTACTCCTGACTTTATCCATGGTCCTCTGCTCTTCTTCTCCACTGACTTGACTATCACGTTCGTTGATGATGAAAACTTGATTATGGATACATGATGCATCCTGTGACTATGCCGACTTCTAAGCGTTGCCATATTGTTGTGTAATCCTGTACTGTAAACATCAGCTGGAAACGGTCAAAGAAGTCTTTTAATACTGCCTCCGTGTTCGTTCAACAAGTTAAGGGGAACTGTCCCATATGCATTTACTAGATCTACCCAGATGACTGCCAAATCCCCTTTAGATTCCTTTGTTTCCCAGATTATCTGTGTCAATACACTTGATTTGTATGCTCATTACACCCTGATACTCCAGGTACTCCTCCCCATCTGCACAGCGATATCAATATACTGATTTTCAAGCATGTAACTAGATATTCCCCTCGCTTAAACTGCCAGATATACTAGTAACTTCCCCTCTACATTCAGGAGCGATATTGTTCAAAATTATTTCAGCATTTCTGATTTCTCTTCTTGGAGATGAAACAGCCTTCTACTCTGTATCAGCTAACTGCCAACCTCCTCCAAACAATTATTATTAGTTTCCAGAGGCGCTGTTTTACACTAGACAGTTCTTGTAAACTTTATGTGGCACCCCATTTGGTTCTGATGCTGATGTTGCTCTGGTTTTCTTAATTACATCTACCACTTCTTTTAGCTAAGGTGGTGCTTCATCAAAGAGTTGATTTGGTTCTTCAGGATGTATCAACTGTTCCCATTCCCCTAACTCTTTCTCCTTATGTGGATCACTGTCCATCCCCCTGAATTACTTCTCAAAGACTTCCTTCGAAGATTTCAACGATCCGGACCCTTTATTTCCTAGCAATCTTGATGTAAACTGGAATGGGTCTATTTTGAATCTTGCTCTTGCTTTGTCTCTCTGTTTCCTTCTAAGCCTGCTTCTCTCTGCTCTTCGTGTTATCTTGGGATGTTCTCTCGTAATTGTTATAGTGCTTGTTTCTCCTCTCCTCTAAGCTGCCGCAGGTCTTTTTTCATATTTGCTATTCCCCCTTCTCTCTATCTCTCTTGTTCTTTCCTTTTTTGTGAATTTCCTTTGTTTTGCGACAAACCTGTCCAGATTTACGCTCTACATAATTGATGTAATAGCTTCTATTTTCTTGGCAATATTGCCTGCAAGGGTTGTGTTCAGAATTGCATCTACATCTAAGTAACACCGTTCCCAGTCACTTTTGTTGTTACTGTTACGAATTTTACTTTCCTCTTCCTTATTCTGTTGTCATCTCTTCTTGCTGTTGATTGCTGCTCTGTGATTGGTTGTTGCCCTCGCTGTCATATGACCTTCACTGCATCGTCATTACAATGCAAATAAAAAATCTAATGCTTTACTGTGTTAATTTCTTCTTGATAGATACTTTTGATCTTGAGTACTGTTTCGTTATCTCCATGTTTCATAAATATGATATGATATACCCAAATGTTGCATTTTCTAATTTTCATTATTTATGTAAGAACTTTAGAAAAGAATAAATGTAGTAAGATTTTTTTTTATTTCAGAGGTCATTTTCTGTAGATGTCACTCATACACCTCCTTCTACATATACTGTAACAGACCTTAAAAATCCTAATGTCGAGTATGGAAAACCGTTATATGGACCGTCACAAGCCTCTTCTGAGCTTGACTTCTCTCTACGTGACATTCAGGAAGGGCTTCGGAAATTGAGTATTATTTCTTCTTCGACTGCTCGAAATTGTCTTGTACCGTCATTACCATTATGTGTTATTTCAAATGGCATTGGTCATAGGGTTGACTTACCCGTAACCATCTCACCAAATAACACTAGGCAAAATAATGTTCTACCATGCCAAAGTCTTATTTTTCTGAAGGACGTAGAAACAAGAGCAACACATTTATACACTACAGAGGCGTCTAAATTCACATTTCCGTTCCAGCTTCGCCCTGTTTCTGATTACGAACTTATGGTATTTCAGGGATGTCAAACTCAGGATAATTGTTTTCTCATTAAAGCAGTGGCTGTTTGCTCATTTAGATCATGTAGGTATCAAGATATTTATTTTACATTTTCTTTCCAATTAATCCATCCATCCATCCATTAAGATTAATGCATAAACAATTTAATGATATGCAAATGGACTTTGGGATAAAAAAAAAATTGATATCACTATTTCTAACAAGTGTGGATCTTATTTTACCTTTCATGTATGTATTTTAACAGACATGACGGCACAAGAAGTCATTCTGCTATACGGAAAAGCCTGTTCACACATGTCATCGATGGGCGCGGAGGAGTTTGCCAACTTTGTTCCAATAACACATCTTTATCGCAGCAAACCCATTCTACATTTTCTGAACATATACAACAACACAAACGGAATCATGTACAAGTATATAAAGAACTTTGGTGGAGATCCGTCATCAACCCTTAACAGAAAACTTCACGGCCTTTTTTTCAGTGCAAACATTGATCCTCTGACAGGTCGTCCTCCGGATGTGTCGTATTACGGGGATCAGAGAATCCACATTCCAGTGATGTTCATGATTAACTCTGATATAAACTTGTATTTCGCAGACTTTTATTGTCATTACGTCAATCATCACGTGACATTGGTTGTAACTTTAAAAGGAAGTGAAGCGGACCTCTTTTGTAGTAAAAGATTGATGCCCCTAGATCCAAATTTTAACGTATTTCTGTTTCGTCGTCCACATGCTTTGCATGCCATGGTGAATTCAAAAATCACAGTGGAAGTATTTTATACAGAAAGTATAAATATTGTCCAAATGATAAATTCCCGCTGTGCTTTTTTAACATCTGTAACTCAAAAAGGTAATGCTGCTTTAAAAACAGCAGTTGGTCTGCCCAAAAGGCGGGACTGTAAAATATGTAATCTAAAAACTAATTCGTGATACTGTTTTTCATTTTAGGAAACTGTTTTAAAAATTTTATGTAAATAAACTTTAGAATTTTACACTTGGTATGGATCAGAAAAGTTTCTTGTTACCATCGTTTTTTCGTTAGTTTTACTCTGTCTAAATTAAAAAGATGACTAGTATAAATCAGGCTCTTAAGAACTGTATCACTGTGAAACGACAATTCGCCAGTACCTGTACACTTATTTAGGAAAATAGCTAATTTGAGGCTGTCTCCTTTGAGTGATTTTGCCAGTATATTCTATACAATTTAAGACTAAATACAAACACAATAATGTTCAATAACATTGTAGGATTTCGAGCCTTCTTGGGTGCAAGTAACTTGATTTTTAGTCCTAGCTGTTTGAATAACAGCATGAATATGAAAAACTTTCAAAAAGTAAACAGAGCATGCAAACACTTAACCTTCCTTTTTTTGACAATATTCATCTATTAAAGAAGAAACGTGTGATCAGAATTGCTAGCTTTTTGTTTAAAACCCACTTAAATTAACACTCATAGCGGGAGGGTAAATAGTAATCGGTATGCCCGTCCGTCTGTTACGCTTTGGGATACCAATCTCTTATCGCAACTCCTCTCATACCATTGAAAAAATTTGATGACTTTCACAGAATCTATATTACATATTGTCATTGTGCACCTCCTATTTTATTTTTTGATCCGAAACATATTTTGGGTTTCCCATAGCAAAACATATACACTACTCTTACTAGTATATTCATAAAGGAGGCAGGGTGTATCATTTAGTGAGCACTTTGCTCACAGTACCTCTAGTTTATTTTGGTTTTTATTGTTAAAAATCGTCAACTCTTAATCCTTTATTTTCTGCACTCAAAATAAAGCTGGTAAAAGTGTCTAGAACATTGCAAAAGTTGAAGCAGTAGATGCATTGCGGTGTTGTGAATGATTTTTTTTATTACTTTGACTGATCGTTGAATAGTTCAAATAAAATTTATAGATTATGGGGTAACTTTACCGGTATGTTTATGTAAAGTCGTATACAATTAAAACGTGAAAAAATATGCACACGTTTTTATCTGGCTGTATCGTTCACGTATACCATTAGCGGTTGGCTACGTTATTCTATTACTTCTGTACATCTAAGATGTTTGAATCGGTGTTAGTATACAAAATGGTTAATATGGTAAGATGTATTTCATCCTTATTTGTAGAGAAAATTTACATTATAAATTGTCTGTAAGACATTCATACTCAATTAAGTTTTCATATTCATTTTTGCTGGTGTATAGGGTTTGACTCTCTACATGTAGTATCGACTGATCTAAAAGATTGATGCTAGATATAAATATTGTTCGAATGATAAATTCCCGCTGTGCTTTTCTAACATCAGTAACTCAGAAAGGAAATGCTGCTTTAAAAACAGCAGTTGGTCAGCCCAAAAGGCGGGACTGTAAAATATGTAATCTAAAAACTAATTCGTGATACTGGTTTTTTTTTTTCATTTTAAGATTTTAGGAAAAATTTTGTGCAAATAAAAAGAATTTTACATTTGGTATGGATCAGCAAAGTTTCTTGTTACCATCTTTTTTTCGTTAGTTTGCTCTGTCAAAATTGAAAGATGACTAGTATAAAGTCAGGTTCTTAAGAACCGTATCACTGTGAAACGACAATTCGCCAGTGCATGTATAGTTTCCTTATTTAGGAAAATAGCTAATTTGAAGCTGTCTCCTCTCAGTTATTTTGCCAGTATATTTTATACAATTTAAGATTAAATTCAATCTATTGTTAAGACAAATGTTGACTGATGTTTTGCAAACTTTTAGTTAAGCCATTATGTACATACTGAATTCTCGACGCATTTTTCCATTTTTCTATCTCGACAAGGAACATCTGGGTGTGACCGTAGCAGGGGATGCTTACTCCTCCATGGCATGGTGCTTTATCCTCCTCCGACGTTTTTGAGGTACGTGTTGGCTCTGCTTCCGATCTGTGTTGTTAAAATAGACTTTGACTTGAATACTGTTCCTTATCTCCATATTTCATATGGAAGATCATTTACGAAACTCTTAAAAAGATTCGGACTAAAACTATCGACATCCTGAATTCTTTACTTTTAAATTTTATTGAGAAAACATTTTGTTTTCAATTCGTATGCAAGATCTGTTAATTTTAAACATACATGTATGTTTAATAATATAATATAGGATATCGATCCTTCTTGACTGCAAGGGAAAAAATCCTTTATTTTCTGCACTCAAAATAAAGCTGATAAAAGTGTCTAGAACTTTGAAAGATGCATTGCGGTGTTGTGAATGATTTTTTTGGATTGCTTAGACTGATCGTTAAATAGTTCAAATAAATTTGATAGATTATGGGGTAACTTTACCGGTATGTTGATGTTAAATCGAATACTATTAAAACGTGAAAAGATATGCAAACGTTTTATCAGACTGTATCGTTCACGTATACGATTAGTGATTGGCTACGTTGTTCTATTACTTGGGTACATCTAAGACGTTAGTTGGTGTTAGTATACAAATGGTTAATATGGTAAGATGCATTTCATCCTTATTTGTAGTGAAAATTTACATTATAAATTATCTGTAAGACATTCATACTGAATCAAGTTTTCACATTCAGTTTTGCTGGTGTATAGGTTTTGACTATCTGTACAAGTAGTATCGACTGATCGTGAATGGTTATTAGTTATTTTTGAAACGTATTTCCTTTTCTTTCCATTCCATTTTATTTCCATTCCTATTCTAGTCATTTTACAATATCTGAAGAACAATGATTTCTTTTTAAGAAGAAATTTTATATTTCTTCTGAAAGAAATAAATGTTCTTCAGATCCAATTTCAAAAGCATTAACAAATTAGAGTGGTCCGTCTAAAATATGTGATCGAAGTTAAATATGATTAAAATTTGTAGAAATAAAAAATTGTTTCGCTTCACTCCCCTTTGTGGGGAGTGAAGCGGACTGAAAACCCTTGGCTTGCGAAGATGGTCTGGCACCTCGATACCAATTTTTTAGTCGCTACGAATCTCGCTGATATTTAAAATAAGGAAAACTATAATTGTCCTTCCAAATAAAAAGGATCCACAAAATAAAAATAAAAGCCTTGTGACACTAGAGGACTAAGTACTTAAAGTATTTGTTAAACACTTGTGTGTTGCTTGAATATGATCTGAAGTACATATGTTCACTACAATGAAGCGCGTCGAAGTGGTAAAATTTGCCAATGGATGGAGCGTTTTGAGCTTCCTTGTTGATTGTTGGTGGATTGTTATATGACACACCCATTTATTTGAAAGGGGACAGTTCGGTCAAATGGTTCATTCAAATACCTATAGAACAGATATAATACAATATATGTATAATATATATAATATAATAATAGATTAAATACAATACTAGTTCCCAATCAAATTGACGGTCTGCATGAACAACGAGTACTAGTAAGCACATGTTCGACCGATACTCCAATAAATATGATAAATTCATAATATTTTACAAATTCGTTGCAATACTGTCTCTTTTAACTTTAAAAAATCTCCATATCGGTATAATTCATGTCGGTATTCGCGAAGAGTGGGGTGTCCAAAAGCATTGCGACGAATATTTCTTTTTCGTTTCTATAGAAATGACCGTGTCATTATGTAACTATTGACGTACGATTAGAAACACCCAAACTTTCCATGCAAAAGAAAAATACACTGTAAAATTACCACTTCAAGGCGTTTCATTCTTATTTGTTTAAGTAAACGGTGCTCTTCTCATGTAAAAGTATTGAAAAACAATTCGAGTTCACCAAACAAAATTACCATAACTTTTACTAGGAAGAAAACCTACATTTGTTTTCCAAATTTTCAACGACAAAATATAACAAAGTTATGGATCGGATCCCTTGAGATTAAGTTTATCAATTGAATTATCAGGATGATTCCATATAAATATGACAAATTACGAGTTTGCTGTTCTTGACTCTTGAGAGAATTTTTAAAAAAGATTTTTCCTATATACGTATTCCTATGTAAAACTTTGATCGTCCATTATGACACCTCGTGGCTCCACCCTACCCATGATTTGAACAGCCTTAGATCTACTCTCTACCTGAGGATGATCACCTTAATTTTCATCTTTCATGGCCCAGTGGTTCTTGAGAAGAAGATTTTTAAAGATCTTCCCTATATAACCTTTCGTAATAATTAGGTCGGTCATTGCATCCCCACTCTACCCTCGTGGGTCATGATTTCATCAAACTTGAATTTACACTACCTGAGGGTGATTCATTTTTCCAAGCCTAGTGGTTCTTGAGAAGATTTTTAAAGATGTCATTATTATTAAGAAATCGAACAAACAAAACCGTTAGCTAAGATGATAATTGGGAAAACTTGTAGTTCGCATTGCAATTTGAAACTAGAGGTACTGTGAGCACTTAGCTCACTTAATGATACCCCGCCTCCCATGTGATAATAATGGAAAGTCCATGTTTTTTCTGAAAGACCCGAAATAGGTGTCAGTTCAAAAACTAAAAATAGTAGGTGCACAATGATATTATGTAATAAGGGATCTCTGAATGTATCATTAAATTTTATTCAGTGGTATAGGAGGAGTTGCTGATAAGAGATAGATACCCTTCAATATTATAGAAAGAATGCCATTAAACATGTTTTGCCAGGGGAATTTAAACCCGAAATATGTGTCAGATCAAAAAGTGAAATAGGAGGTGCACAATGGCACTACTAGTATGTAGATTCTGTGAAAGGTTAATTAAATTTCATTCAGTGGTATAAGAGGAGTTGCAGAAAAGATATGGGTACCCCAAAGCGTAGCAGACAGACATCCTGATCACCATATATCTTCACATTTTCAAGCGTAGCTAGGTATAAAATATTGATAAGATACACCAAGCAATAAGCAACCTCTAAATGTACAATGAATAATGCTCAGAATGATAATAATTTTTTGAAATATAGTTTTTGTTGCTGTTGAAATTGCATGGTCGAACATGACAATTTATAATTATTGAACAAAAGTAGAAAGAACAAATAATAATTACGACAAATAATCTTCCAGAAG